TTTTTAAATTTACATCCAAGTTAGTTAGCATATAGTGCAAGAATGATTTTGGGAGTAGATTCTTTAATGCCCCTTACCCATTTAGCCCATCCCCCCTCCCACAACCCCTCTAGTAACCCTCTGTTTGTTCTCCATATTTATGAGTCTCTTATGCTTTGTCCCCCTCCCTGTTTTTGTATTATTTTTGTTTCCCTTCCCTTATGTTCATCTACTTTGTCTCTTAAAGTCCTCATATGAGTGAAGTCATATGATATTTGTCTTTCCCTGACTAATTTCACTTAGCATAATACCCTCCAGTTCCATCCACGTAGTTGCAAATGGCAAGATTTCATTCTTTTTGATTGCCAAGTAATACTCCATTGTATATATATACCGCATCTTCTTTAGTCATTCCTCCATCGATGGACATTTGGGCTCTTTCCATACTTTGGCTATTGTTGATAGTGCTGCAATAAACATTGGGGTGTATGTGTCCCTTTGAAACAGCACACCTGTTCCTTGGATAAATACTTAGTAGTGCAATTGCTGGGTCATAGGGTAGTTCTATTTTTAGTTTTTTGAGGAACCTCCATACTGTTTTCCAGAGTGGTTGTACCAGCTTGCATTCCCAGAGGGCTGTCAGCTTTTGGATAGAATACAATCAACCTGATACTTCCAATGACTTCTTTGTTCATTTATAACTTCATACAGATAAGAGAAGACCTCTGAAATCTTATCTCAGATTGGACATAATGTTGATGCTGCTTTTGTGTCTATTGGATAGGTCATCACTTGGAAGGTGGAACATATAAAGTAACTTCTTGTTTTCATTCTAGGCCCCTAACTCTCACAGAGGGTTTAGTAGCTTGGTAAGTCACACTAATACAGGGATTCCAGAAGATACTCAGGTTAGTCAAACACTGTCACTTGACAGAGCTGTACGGATTGTGGGAAGCCACAGGGAGGCAGGTTTCATTTCGGAGAAGGGAGAGACAGGATGGGTCCACTTGGCCTCAAAATACAGACATGAGAGTGGCAGGCCCACGGCCATGTGGCCAAGGGCCTGGAAGAGGAGAAAGTGTGAGGAACAATATCTTTTCATTGGCAGAACTGGCTGGGAGTTGGGAGACCAGGGTCCAGTGTTGTGCGTGAGAAGAACTCACCCCAGGGCCGTGCTGGTCGCTTTCCTTTCTGGGCCTTCTCTTTTAATGGAGCTGGTTAGTGTCTATCAGTGTCCTTCAAAATTGTGACTTTCTTAAGCCATGAATATTTTCCTTAAGTAAAATTTGGACCTGTGCTAAGTATTTAAAATTGATGAGCTGTTCTGATGGGGTGGTATGGGGTGAGGGCTGGTCCCTTCGTTCTCATCCCCTTTCAGGCGGTGCCCCAATTTGAAAACCATGTGACAGGATGGATTCTGACTAATGGCTTGTCCACCAGGGCAGTCCTACAGGCCCAATGGAGACACAGTTTTGGAGAGCTGGGAACTAACTCCTGCAAATCAAATTGCCTGTTGCTGGTGAGAAGTAAAATCCTCAGTATTGCACACTCAGGCGTTTCTGCTGAGAGGCTGTTTAGCTTGAGGAGACCAGGAACCAGCCAGAACTGCAGGTCAAAGTATATGATGTTTGAATATAATTCACTCTGTTTTTACCAAAAGAAGGAAGGATGTTCTCAAGAGGCAGACAGTTAGATCATCTAGTATCATTGTAAAAGGAAACAAGAAAAATGGTGAGATTCTACTCTATCATAAGACAGAGATAACACAGCGCTGCTATTTTAATCATATGTAGGCATTGTCTACCTAATCCTTATGTATTTATTTTTTCCTTTAGAATATTGATATACATAATGATATACTTTTTTTTTGTATATTAAAGCAACACAATAAGATACAACGAAGTGTAACTCTAAGAAAAGATGAAAAAAAAATGCTGTTCAAGTGACAGAAACACAAAATAGCATACTTTACCATACATATTAATGTTTCATTAGTCTTACAGTTAGTTACTAGTGGCCATAGTCAATAATCTATTGTTGATTAGTTTAAAAATAGCACATAAGAGAGAATTAAATAAGAATGAAATAAATTTTTGAAACACCTATAGAAACACTCAATCTTAAATAACTTAGATGTGTATAATTATTTATTACATATTATATTATTATGTTTTACTTTTTGTTGTCTATTTTGGCTAACTCCCCAGGTAGCACTCTAAAAATTAGTCTCCCTAGTACTGGGAGAAGTATACTTGGGTAAATTTTGACTTTCTGTGCCTTTTTGCAGGGGGCAACATGTTTCTCCTAAGACCATGTTGACAGTGAAGGGTGCAGAACACATTGTCCTGGGAGGGTAGAAGTGCAAGTGCAAATGGCGTGGTTTGGGTTGGCAGAGATGGGGTGACCCTAGTGCCCACGTCTTCAGTTTCCCCTACCTCTCAGCACACCTGTTTTTTTGGAGCAACAGTCTGGAGGCAAACTTCACTTTCTGTCAAGGCTGGGGTTCCCAGGTCCTTTGCATTCCGGTCCCATTTCTTCTGTCGCTGTTGACTCAAGGTCAGGGCTGTCCTGTGGAGGTGACAGAGCCATGCTCCTTTAAGAACCCCAGCCCTCAATATCCCTATCCTATGTCTAACTTTCCGTACCTGTCCAACTTGCTCTTGGAGCACCCACCTTTCCCCTCTTTTCCTCAGACACCATTATCATGGTCACCACCCCTCACCTCTGTGGCTCTGCTATAGCTATGATGAACTGCCAGTGTCTAGTTTCTCCTGACTCTGATGCTCTGCCTTGGGGGTGGGGGGGAAGATGGGGGGGGTGAGTGGAGGCACCAAGTCTCTGTAGATAGGAAGTCTGCTGTAGCTATTGGTTTGGGAGAAGTTCCCAGTTGGGTTTCTGTGTACGAGCTTGTCATGGTTGTTTTATGGCTTTTCAGTCAAGTCAGGAGGGCATGTAATACAGAGTTTGCACCTGGAGAAAGAAAGTGGGAGAAACCGAGTCCTTTTGCTCTAGTTTTCTGTGTGCAAAAGACTTGCTTCCCAAAGTTTTGCTGCTGCGGTTTACTTAATAGGGAAGAGTGCAGACCTGTGGAGGGGTGGGGATAGGCTTGGCTTCTGAGATGCTCATGATCAGAATTGTCCTCTGGAGGTGAACACTGTGAGGTCTGTGGCAATCTTCCCAGCAGGGCAGCGGGAGAGAGAGAGATGCCTTGGAAGTGCTGACTGGCAGAGAAAGACATGGAGGTGAGATGGGTCGGCCCTGGTGTTTCCTGGGCACTGAGTCCAGAGTGGTGCTCTTGGGCTCTGAGTAAATGTCACGGAGAGGCAGGGCTAAATGGACTCATTCGTCGCTCTGCCTTCCCTTTTCCCCACCAGCAAGTACTCTTTCTGTTTGCCAATGCAAACACTTAATAATGAGACTGTTATCCCCCAGAACATGCAAATAATAGATAATTCCTATGGATAGATGATAACAAATATAGAGAGTGCCTGTGTATTGTCAAAGATGTGATGTTGATTACAATTTGGTTGATAAATGGCTTACACTGAATATTATAGGCAAATGACTTTCTGATAAAAAATAGCCATACGATAATGATTAAATTTACTTCAAAGTATTTTTGTATATAGCCAGTTAGACTTGATAAAATATGAGTTCAGTGACTATTCCATTTAAGATGATGGAAACTGCAAAAAGTCAGATGGTAAATGTCACACTGCAAGGAGTAATTAGCATTTTGATGGATGTCAAAAAAAAAAAAAACCTTCCAGCTGATTCTGTGCAGTTATCTTAAGAAGGTGTTTAAAGTATGGTTTAAATTATGCAGTTTTTAGTAATCTTTTATTTGAATATAGTATTGGTATACACAGTTATGGGCTAGTTTTTAGGATACACGTCCTTACTTTAGTCAACATTTTGTGTGGAGTTTTGTGTAATGTTGGAGTATCAACATAAGAAAATGAGAGTGCCTAGGTGGCTCAGTCACTTAAGTGACTCTTGATTTTGGCTCAGGTCATGATCTCACGATTTGGTTCATGGGATGGAGCCCCGAGTGGGGCTCTGTGCTGACAGCGCATAGCTTGCTTAGGATTCTCTTTCTCCCTCTCTCTCTGCCCCTCCCCGACTTGCATGCATGCATGAGTGCACTCTCTCTCTCGAAATAAACATTAAGAAAAGAAAGATATTTAAAAAAAAAAAGATGAGAACAGTGGTCTGTAATTCAGTGGGGTTTGGTTGTAGCCTAAGGGTTTAAGAGAAGAATGTTGGCTGTCCATAGGCCCTTGGATTGCTTCCATTTCTTGGCCATCGTGAATAACGGTGCTGTGAACGTGAGTGTTTGGTCGCTATTTTTAAGCAAGCAAATCTTTATTTTTTTCTTCCTTCAAGTACTTGTATGGTTTCATTTTTTTTGCTTTTAGATATTTGATTCATTTGAGGTTTATTGTGGCTTACAGTGCAAGGAGTAGGTCCAGTTTTATCTTTTTCCCCCCAAATGACTACTATCTCGTTGTTCCAATACCATCTATTGAAAATTCATTGTTTCTCAGTGATTTGAGATGCCACCTTTATCATGTATTAAATCAAGCTTTGTATTGAATTTCAATTCTGTCCCTTTGGTCTCCCTGCCCTACACATAGCACTGGCATACAGTTTTAGAGTCTACTTTAATACCTAGTAGGGGAATCTCTGGTAGGGTGAAGAGTAGAGAGCTTTGCCCTGAGAAAAGATATGTCTTTCCACCCTTCTCCCAGGTGGTGGGGGGGGAGGAGAAATGAGGGAATGGATGGCCGGGAGGAAGGAAGTAGCTCATCCTGATCTCCAGAGTGGTGTGGGAGGGGTTAATTTGTCCCGGGGAAGAACCCCACTTTCCTGGAGGAGCCCAGACTCTATCCTGGCATGTGCTTGTTGTGTACCGAATGATGTTTAATGAACCCATGAAAAGTCAGTTAATTCCACTCTAGACATGGACATTTATTAAGGCTCTGGCCACCCCCTCTGGAGCCGCCCCAGAGCAGAATCAGTCACAGCGGTGTCCAGGTCTGGTTCTGCCGCTTGAAGCGTTCCATTGTTCTGGTTATCCAGTTCACGAAGCTGGACACCCTGGTGAAGACTGCGGGAGGAATCCCCCTCCTGTCTCCATAGGAGACAATCCCCTCGGCCACATTGTTACATATCAGGGGGCCTCCGGAGTCCCCCTGTGGACAAGGAGAGGAAAAGACCTTAAACCAGGCCTCTGGGCTCCTGCTGCCCTAAGGCCTGGCTCTCAGAGAAAGCAGGGGCGAGTGGGGGGAGGATGGAAGGGCGGTGGAAGTACGGAAGTCAGCCTTCCGGTCTTTCCATGGTTGGGCTTCAGGCCTGGCTAGAGTTACTGTCTCTAGCTCAACCCAAGTCAAGGTGCCTTTGCCTTCTCCAGGAAAACACTGCACACGTATATGTTGTGTGCCCAGTGCTCCTCCCGTTACCCTAGAGACCAGATTGATGGGAAAAGACCCTACCTCCCTCTACTCTGACCCCTCCAGACTGACGCCGTGGGGAATAGCCTGTTTCGACTGCCCAGCCTGTCAGGCAGTATTGGCAGATGCCCATGGCCTTACCAGGAAGGCGGACTTCCTCGAACTTGGGTTTCCCACACAAATTTGTGTTTGGCCGGTGTAGAAACTGAAGCGATTGCGGCACCTGCTATCCCTCTGCACGGTTAGCTGCACCTCATGGAGTCTGTTTGTACTCCTGCTCAGGCTCACCAGGCCCCAGCCTGCCACGGTGCACACGGCCCCAGGTCTCAGTCTGGCCTGTGCCTGAGGCAGAGACACTGTCCTCACAGCTTCACTCTGTTGGATTCTGTTTTCCAGCTGGCAGGAGAAGGGGAGGGGGCACTCAGGGGCGGTGCGTGCAGCACACCGTCCCCACCCTGCGGCTCTGCCCCTGCCTCCTCCTCGGCCTCCCAGGATGGCCAGGCCCCCCTGCACTGGGAGTGGACTGGCTCAGCAGGAGAACTGGAGGGTCGGGTGGGCCGTACCTGCAGTAACATGATGTCATTCACGTTGCTCTGTTGATTGTATTCAGGGTGGCGGATGGCTCTGAGCACAGACCTGTGCTGCTGGGTTCTTTCCTCCCTCCTGATGTTGTGGGCCCCCAGGATGACGGTGATAGGACTGCAAAGGAGAGGTGGCCTAGGGGTAGGCGTGAGCCTCAGGAGCTCAGCCCGCAGGCTCTGCAGGCCAGGTGGATGGCCCAGGGCGGCAAGACTGCAGCCGAGGGAACTGAGGGGACAGGAGGGTTTCAGGGGCCGAGTCCTCTGTGCTTCTCCTCAGCCCTGAGCTGAGGGTGGTGGGGGACGCAGTGACTGAGCCTTGCTTCCCCTGGAATAAGTTGAGAAATAGCTTGAACTCCTATTTTGAGCCCTACTGTGTGCTTTCATCTCCTCCTCCTACTCTTTTTGATCATGTCCTCCTTTTCTCTTCATTCACCCTGGCCCATTCTCCACCCCCAAATCCCACTCATCTCTTTTTCCCCTTCATTGCTGGAAGCTTGCTTTCACATGGCTGGTCAGGGGCTCTCCTGGGCCTGCGGTACTGGCACACGAGCTGCTCACCTTCCCCAGCAGTGAGCTGCCGTCAGCACAAAGTCTTCTCTCACCAGGAAACCCCCGCAGGTGCTGTACCCCACTGGAGTCTGGATTATAAGAAAAGCCATGTAGGGGCGGGAATGAGGCCTGGCCTCTTGGCCTCCGATGATCTCCCCTGGAAGGAAGCATTGCGCACTTATCTCTGTGCTTGCTGACCCCGTGGTGTGGGCATCAGGGTGGTGGCTCCAGAAAGGCTGGCAGGTGAGGAGGCGGGAGACATGAGGGAGTGGAGGAGTTGCGGGTGAGAATTGGGTTTGCAGGGCACCACACATTGGGGTAGGACTCCCGGGTTTGGCAGGAACCACTGCTGGCTCCCCATCCCAGACCTGAGCTCCCTCCCAGCTCCCCGGAGGATAGCTCTGGTTCCAGGCAGGGTCAGATTCAGGCTCCCACCATGAGGAGAGGTGGTCTGCTGCTGGGTGGCAAATCTGGAGCCCTCTGGGGTGGCCTCTTCCGAAGTTCCCTGGTACTTTCTTCCTCAGGGAGCTTCCCAGGTCCCTCTGAGGCCTCCTCAAGGTCAGCGCATGAGCAGCAGGGGACTGGTTTTTCAGATTCTAGACATGAGCTGATGGTATTGTTATTGCTGCATCCTTATTTCCTAGGCTCGGACACACAGACTGCAGAATGAATCTAGAGAGCACATGTATATCACGTGTCCTTTGTGCTGGCGGCAAGTCCAAGGGTTTCATGTACACCAACTAACTTAACTCTCATTGAACTCTAGGAGGTACACACTGGTATTCGTCCTAGTTTATAGATGAGGAATCTGAGGAACTGTGAATTCAAATAACTTGCCCAACGGTACAGAGTTAGGAAGGGTCTAGGCAGTCTGGCTCCAGGGTCTGTGAGAGGGGTCGGGCCTGAGGTTGGGGGTGGTCACTTACCTGCCCCAGCCCCGGGGGGTAGGAGAAAGGCCATCAGGAACAGGAGCAGCTGCATCTTCTTGGGAAGACTGCCCCAGTCAGATGCCGCTGCCGCTCTCACTTGCCAGACTTGTACCTCCCAAGAGAGGAAGGAAGTCTGGGGGTGGGGGCTCAAGAACAGTCCCGTACTCCTGCTGGTGTGACAGGTTTCGTCACCTGTGGCTGCCCAGGAAGCTTGCCCACCAACTGCCGGTGATGTGGGGGGAAGAGAATAGTCCAAGCCAACGCTGTCCTGCACAGCTGCTGAGTCAGTGCTGGCAGCAGAAATGGGCCCCTGGGGTGACAGGGAAGGGGGCTTGGGGCCCTGTGTCCCAGAACCCTAAACCCACCAAATTCAGTAATATCCCAACAAGGCAGGAAAACTGGTAGCTGCCTATCTCCTCTGTTTCCTGCCTTTCCAGGATGAGAGCCTCAGTCCTTTGGCACTTGAGTTCTTCAAATGAATGCACATTTCCTAGATTGCTTATTTATTTATTTTAATTTTTTTTTAGGGAGAAAGCGCATGAGAGTGGGAGAGAGGAGCAGAGAGAGGGGCTGTGTGTGGAGCCTGACGTGGGGGTAGATCCCATGACCCTGGGATCATGACCTGAGCCAAAATCAAGAGTTGGATGCTCAGCCAACTGAGCCATCCGGGCACCCTCTAGATTTCTTCTTTAAGTCATACTTAGTAAGGTGGGGCCATGGGTGAATGAAAGATGGGTGTGGTGTGGTGGGGGATGTGGTGAGGACACTAGGAATAAGTCAGAAGAGGAGGCCAAAGAGTGAAGAGGAAGCCTGCCTATCTTTACCCTTTGGTCCCTGGACCCCCTGCTGGCACCTTTGCTACTCCTACTTCTTTCTAGAGGTTGTGGAGGCAGATCAAATAGCTCCCTCTCTTGAGTGGGTAGAGTGCACTGCCAGGGAAGGAAAAGGGCAGAACAAGGCTCTGCCACTGATAATTACTTTCTCAGGGCACTTGAGCCCCAACAAACTCTCCGTGAAAATTATCACACAGTTGAGAATTTCTGTTTTCCTGCTTCCTACTTAAGGTGAGGACCTTTTTGTCCCAGAATGCTCCCTGCACACAGAAAAGACCTAGAGACGTAGTTTTGTTGAGAGCTGTCAGACCCTGGCTGAAAAACAACGAAGATCCTTTTCATCCATGATATGAGTCCAGTTAACTTAATCCCCGTTCTTTGCCCCCAGGGGCTTCTAACAAGGGAACGCATGCTTGCCGTGCTCCCTGTAACACATAAAGCACCACCTACAATACATAAAGAACATGCAGTCCACGTTGAGAAGAAGGCAGTACAGAGTAACACAGACACACTTAAAAATACTTAGAAGATTCTGTGGGTGCACAGAAAAACATTGTAATATAGCATAATTTTTGCAAAAATGTCAGAATTAAAAACTAATACAATTCTCAAACTTTTATGGATATGATGGCCCCATTTGAACGTCTTATGAAAATTAAGAATCCTCTCCTTATATACAAATATACATGATTTTCACAGCTGCAAAGAACTTCATCCTTCTCTGATACATGCTTAATGATGGCAACCTTGTGAAATTTCTTTCTGCATCTAGAAAGAACTGTGTAGAGAAAAGAGAAACTATTATAAAGGCTTTATTAGTGCCTTAGCTTTTGGGACAATTTTAATTTATTGCTACTTAAATGTTTTCAACACTTTAAAAGCATTAGTCTATGGGAATGCAAGCTGGTGCATCCACTCTGGAAAACAGTATGGAGGTTCCTCAAAAAACTAAAAATAGCTTTTTTTTTTATGACTATGACTCAGTTTTTTATGACCCAGCAATTGCACTACTGGGCATTTATCCAGGGGATACAGGTGTGCTGTTTCGAAGGGACACATGCGCCCCCATGTTTATAGCAGCACTATCAACAATAGCCAAAGTATGCAAAGAGCTCAACTGTCCACCGATGGATGAATGGATAAAGAAGATGTGGTATATATATTCAATGGAGTATTACTCAGCAATCAAAAAGAATGAAATCTTGCCATTTGCAACTACGTGGATGGAACTGGAGGGTATTATGCTAAGTGAAATCAGTCAGAGAAAGACAAAAATCATATGATTTCACTCATATGAGGACTTTAAGAGACAAAACAGATGGACATAAGGGAAGGGAAACAAAAATAATATAAAAATAGGGAGGGGACAAAACATAAGAGACTCTTAAATATGGAGAACAAACAGAGGGTTACTGGAGGGCTTGTGGGAGGGAGGGATGGGCTAAATGGGTAAAGGGCATTAAGGAATCTACTCCTGAAATCATTGCTTCGCTATATGCTAACTAATTTGGATGTAAATTTTATTTATTTTTTTAATTTTTAATTTTTTAGAAAAATTTTTAACGTTTATTTATTTCTGAGACAGGGATAGACAGAGCATGAACAGGGGAGGGTCAGAGAGAGGGAGACACAGAATATGAAGCAGGCTCCAGGCTCTGAGCTGTCAGCACAGAGCCCGACGTGGGGCTAGAACTCACGGACCGCAAGATCATGACCTGAGCTGAAGTCGGCCGCCCAACCGACTGAGCCACCCAGGCGCCCCTGGATGTAAATTTTAAAAAATAAAAAAATAAAGTTAAAAACAAACAAACAAACAAACAAACAAACAAACAAACAAACATTAGTCTAACTCTTTTAAAAAGGGGAAAAGGATAAAGACCAGTCTGAGGGAAAAAGGGGAGTAAAATGTATGCTCCCAATGATCTACATAGAAATGTGGACAGAAGAGTTCATGAACAGCGACCTAGGATTTCATGCCAACCTTCCCACGAGAAACAACCCCAAGCAAACCTGTTCAAAATATCCCAAACCTTATAAGCCTCAAAGAACTGCCAATGCAGGAGTGTTTATCACGCTAAAAAGGAAGGAATAATGGGCGTTAGGTGGCTACTATTGTTCTGAGGGAATTTACTGAACCTACAAAATTCAAAGCTCTGCTTTGATGGCCACATAAGGTGAAGGGTGTAGAAATCAAAGACCAAAACCCACACAACCAGGTCCAACCAGAGACACTCCTCACAATGAGCTGGGGCATTAAAAGTCTATACTCTCAAAGTAACAAAGAAGAGGTAATGAGCTCATCCTTGCAAGTGATTTAATGAAAGATTGGAATTACTTGGACCTTTCATGGAATCTCAGACCTTGAACTTGCATTGATGTGGTTATGGACTGTGTCCCAAAGTGCCTGATGGAATCAAATGCAAATCTAGAGGAAATTCACTTAATTCCAGGGTTTGATTTATACCTAAAAATTATTTTTCAAGTAGAATGACAAGCATATAGTCAAGTATAAACAAGAGGATAAGCAAAGAGATAAGACAACAGAAGTAGGAAATGATAGACAATAAGAACAGAGAACAAATTTAATTATTGGGATAAGTGTATTAGAATAATAAAATATAGATAATAAGACAATTATGCCGAAATAAAAACAAGCTTTAAAAAAGCTGCAGGGAACATGAATCTTAAAAAAAGTGACATAACATTTGAAAAAGTGAAAAATGTAATAACCAAAATTAAAGTCACAGTGGAAAAACTTAATAACAGATTAGACAAAGCTAAAGAGAATTACTAACCTGAAATGGCTCAGAAAAAAGTGTTAAGAATGCAACATAGACAGACCTAAAGATAAAAATATAGAAAATAATAGAATTAGAAGATTGTACATATATTTACTTGGAATTCTAGAGGAAGAAGAAAAAACAAGAGGTCATATAAAATAGAATAGTGGCTGAGATTTTTAAACAGTTGATGAAAAATATCCAACTAGAGGTTAAAAAAAAACTTCAAGCAGAATAATACAAAGAAATTAATACCTAGAAATCATTGTCTTAAAGAAATGGCAGAAATCTTAAAAAAATTTTTTTTTTTATTAATTTATTAAGTCAGCTCCATGCCCAATGTGGGGCTTGAACTCTCAACCCTGAGATCAAGTGTTGCATACTCCATTGACTGAGCCAGCCAGGTGCCCCAAGAAATGGCAGAAATCTTAAGAACAATCAGAGAAAGAAAGATTACTTTCAAATTAATACTGGATTTGAGGCTGACTCCTTAGCAGCAGCAAAGAGTGAATACTCTCCAGGAAGAAACAACTTCATAGTCATTTGGGAAGATTTTAAAAACACATCCTTTCTTAAAAAAAATTTTTTTTTAAGGTTTTATTTTACTTTTGAGGGAGAGAGAGAGAGAGAGAGAGAGAGAGAGCGCGAACAGGGGAGGGGCAGAGAGAGAGGGAGACAGAATCTAAAGCAGTCTCCAGGCTCTGAGCTGTCTGCACAGAGCCCAATGTGGGGCTTGAACTCACAAACCATGAGATCATGACCTGAGCTGAAGTCGGAGGCTTAACCGACTGAGCCACCCAGGTGCCCCTAAAAACCAAAACTTTTAGAAGATAAGATAGAAGAATTAATTTTTTTACAAACTTAAGGTAGGGAAAAAAAACTTGAAATAGGACATAAAAAGCCCTAATATAAATTATAATTACAAAGGAAAAAAATAGATAAATTGATCTATATAAAAATTTCAGAAATTCTGACCACTAAAGCCACTATTAGCATAGTGAAAAGTAAAGCTACAGAATGGAAGAAGATATTATCAATAACTGAGAAAGGGTTTGTATTTGGGAGATACATGTGTGCATATTTGTATATAAAAGTCATATTTATATATAAGCCATTGGAAAACCATTATGTAATTTTGAAAATCTACATGAAATTGACAAATCCTCAGAAAGTTTAACTTAACGAAACATATTCAAGAAATTTGCATTTTCTTATAAACACTAAATAAATCGTTCAGTTGTCAAAAATATTCCATTAAGGGCAGCTATAGACTCATATGGCTTCACTGGAAATCTCTACAAAATATTCAAAGAATACTACACAATTTCTTCTAGAGAGTAGATGGCACCTATCTCCTTTATGAGACTAGCAAAATGTTGAGGCCAAGCCCAATGAAGACAATATGGGAAAGAAACATTACAGGCCGTATCAGTTCAGAA